CTTGCTAATCTGTTTTTATTTTGCAATGAGCCCTGGCCAGGTGTGAGAAATGATAGTACTTTTTCTCTCCTCTAGGGCCAATTTCCCAGGACAGGTTCCTGGCAGTGGGCTTCCTGAGTCAAGATGTTTGAAGGATTTTTATGTTTCTGATACTCTGTCAGGGGAGTTTTCAAAAGATTGCCCCAGCTCCCATTTCTGCATGCTGAGAGGTTGGAGTCAGGTGCCTAATGGGGAAGTTTACTCATTATTGCCCCCAGCATCATCAAAACCCTGTTATTCCTGTGTTCTCTAACATATTTTTCCAGAAATTTTTATTTTAACCCATTCCCAAACAGTCCACCTCTTTCTTTCCTTCCCAAAATATGTTTTCCCAGGAAAATGCCAGTCCTTAAATTAGCTAGTTATGTGCCAGCACTATAGTTGCTGTTCAACACCTCACACTTTCCTGAATTCTGACCCAACTGATGGTGATATCTTGGTTTTGTTTGCTGTTGTGTTTGTACCATGATGCATGTTGCCGGAGTGTTTAATAAATCAACTAGTGAAACAATTTCTACTGGAACTATAATTCTGAAGCTTTATATTGCCTGAAACGATTCCATTTCTAAGGTAAATAATGTGAGTATTTCAGATCATATTTTTTTTCTAAACACTTTGGCTACAACGAGAGTAAATTGCTGCCAGGTTCTCCCTAGGAATAGGGATCAAAAAATTCTTTTGGGAAGGTGAAAGCTTCAGACAGCTATATCTAGTGGCATCAATTACCTGTGCATACATCTATCTTCCATTGCTGAGATTCCTTGCTACCATGCAACTTTTGAGTTACAATTTGGCTTCTCATGGAAATATCAAAACAGAGCAAATGTGCTAGATGGGGCATAGAGGACTTGATAAACTACTGCTTCAAGAACTTATGTTTCTCATGGTAAATGAATCAATTGACAAAATGTTAGTTCAGCCTTCTGAAGTCAATTAATTTTGGAATACTGGGGAAATTGGATTGGAGATCTGCATAGCTTGAAGATGAATTTTGGACTTTGGTGATGCTATTGGTCAGCTTTCATGTTGCTGATACAAAATACTTGCAACTTAAAGAAGGAGAAGTTTTTTGACTCATGATTTCAGTCCATGGTCAACTGGTTGGAAGGCAGAAACATCATGGTGAAAGTACATTTTAGAGCAAAACCATTCATTTCATGGTGGCTGTGAAGCAGAACACGGGGAAGAACACCAGCAAGAGAAATATACTCGGTGGTGGTTTATATTAGAATGTCCTCCCAAAGCCTCGTGTGCTAAATACATAAATATTAGTGGAAAAGTTACTCACTTGTATTTAGACATTTGCATTTCTTATATTCCTACTCTCTAAATTGGATTATTTTGTATTTGTAATCAGTCTAATTAATATTCATATTTAATTGTTTTAAATACAGTTTACTGTTTGTAGAAAGGTTTTAGTGGTCAGTGAAAGCATGCCACCTGCTCTTTGTGAATAGTTCAGCATTTCTTCCATCTCCCCTCTCATAGTTGAAAGGTTCACCCTGATGCCAATGTAGTCTCTAACTGCTATCATCATAACTGTTTTTTTTATTTGATATGTACCATCAGCTTTAATAAATTCATTTTCAACCCTCTCTTGGTCTCTATGTGTCCTTCTTGCCACTCAAGGCAGAACTAGATTAATGGATGTGTGGAAATAGGATCGTAGTACTCTTATGCACTAAACATCTACTTTGGCTCTATATGAGAAGTAGATAAAGTCCAAATTTCTAACCTGGAATAAAAGACCTTGCACCACTTGACATAATTCCTCACCACATAGCCTTGGTGCCAATCAGATTGGGGTCCCCAAATCTCTCAAATATAGCTTACTGCTTCATAATACAGTGGTGTCTTTTTCGTCTCTACTATTTTGCCTGCGATACTTTTTCTTTACTCTTTGGAAATTCTGTTTGCATCCTTCAAAACCAAAATGATCCATCATGTCAGCAAACACATTTTCTTGCTCCTTCCTTTGGGTTTTCACAGTTCCTTAAACAAACCTATTCTCTAGCAATTGCCCCCACTATTATAAATATGTGTTTTTACTTGTTCATCTTTTACTAGACTATGAACTTTTTGAGAGCAAAGAACTGTCATTCATCTCTGGAGAGACAGTGCTTAACACAGTGTCTGGCTCATCATAGATCCTTAATTCATGTTTATTGAATTTATTAATTAAGCCATAACCAAGGCATCACCATCCATTTAATTGCAAAAGAAATCTCACAGATGAAATTAACAGTCTAATTCCTATCATCTTTGCTGATAAAGTGATGACGAATGCTGAGTGCTTCACACAATGCACACAGTATAGACCAAAGAAAAGAATCCAAGGGCATTGGTCCTGCCCTTGAAGAACTTACAATAGAGGAAGAAAGAGCAGGTTTTCATTCATAAAACAAGCAGAGGTCAAAATTAAGAGTGTTTGAAGGCCATGTTTGTTTTAAGCTTGAACTGTGCACTTAAGGCCAGAGCAATCAAGAACAGATCCTCTTCCTCACATTCCACCAACCTTCAGAGGTGGGAAGCTGTGTGGTTGGAATCCAGTATGAGACAGGGGAGGGAGGCACTGTGGTCAGACATGTTTGGAAAGGCTTCCATAAGAGGTTGGATAAAGGCTACTATATAGAAAAATTTGGTTTAGGGATTAGTGAAGAAGAAAGTTGGGAGAAAGGTATTCTGGAAAGGAGAAATGAAGTCATTTCTACTGAGGTTAAAAGACATATACAACCCAAATCAAATAGTTAGTCATCACAATATCTTGAAGAATTATGCCGTGCTACACAACCAGAGAGCTACAATGAAAAATAATTCTGATCTTCTCTTTTACTTTAGCATCTACATAATCTTTATGTATCCCGAAAATGGCCATTTGTTACTTACAATTATAGTTGGTGGACTGAAGGCTTAGAGGCTGAGTCTCCCTTGACCTTTCATGCCCTTCCCTAGGTTATAGCAGAATTCTCCTACAGAGGAGGCTCTACAAATTCTCCAAAGGACCCTGAGCTTCCCTCGGAATGGCTCCTTTATATGCTACTATGCTCAATGGTTGATTCCTGAGTAAAATAAACACCATGTTGTATTTGTTTGCAGCACCTGAAACAAAATGAGAGCTCAGTGAATGTTTGCTCTGTGAGTAATTAAATGCATGAGTGCAGTGGCATGCCTGGCAATCCAGCCAGCAGCTCTTGTTGACTCTATCAAATGTCTCATTTTCCACCTGAGTTCCCAACATTCTCACAGTGATTCCCAATATTCCAAACAATCTCAGAGTCCCCTGCCCACCAAACACCCCAGGATAAGTTTGCCCACCAATCAGCTGTTTCCATCCTTCCTTTAGGTTTGAAGTCCCTAAAGGGCAGATAATAAAGATAACAAAGCTTTGAGCCTGCCACAGTGTGCCTACCTGAGCACAGAAACAGACATGACCAAACAACCCCAGGCTATGCTGATAACAAAGGCTTTCTGAGCAATGGCCCTTCAAAGCAACAAATCAAGATAGACAGCCTGCCAAAAACATGCCAAGCCAGCAGACTCAGAATCCCTTACCCACTGAGCAACAGCCCATCCATCACTGAAACAAATCAAATTAGATAGTAAGAGCATCAAGAAAGCAGAGTCTGCCTTCATGGGTCTCGGAAATCTTCTTGATTTTTGGGGCAACCTTGCCCCAAGTAATTTCCCTCTCAACATCTCAATGAGCCCGAGGAACACATACCTTTATCTGCCTATCAGATTTCTATTCATTCAGGGCCTTAGCTCAGATACCACTTCCTCTACAATGCCTTCACTCATCTCTGAGTAATATTTTGTTAGGTTAATAGTAGGTTTTGATGTTATTCTGAGCAAGAGTCTTAGCACTATCCAAATTATGATTTTCAAATTAATCACTTCTTCCCCCAAATAGAGATACACAAGAAGAAGGCAAATGGGAAACAAAGAACATCTTTGCACCCAATGTTCCAATCCAGAGCTCTCTAAGAGAGCAGAATTGAACCATAAAACTTAGCTTGAAACTCAAGTTGGGCTTCTATTTCCTAAAGCCAGATGATAAAGTCTAGGCCTTCTGCTCCTCCCATCATGATATTGACAAGTACATTCAGGCAGATGTGCAGGAGGGAGGAAAGACTGCCAGGCCTGCCCTGAGGAGGTAGACTCTGAATTCACTCATTAATCCTATGCCACGAGGTGAGTGCTGTCTTAGGTTATTTTTGCTGCTATAACAAAAAACCACAGACTAGGAAATTAATGAACTATAAATTTATTTTTCATAGATCTCAAGGCTGAGAAGTTCAAGATCAAAGCAGGATTGGTGTTTGTGAGGGCTGCTTTCTGCTTCCAAGATGACCCCTTGTTGTTGCATTCTCCTAAAGGGAGGAATGCTGTGTCTTTATGTGACAAAACCAGCAGATGAGTAAGAGAGAAGAGGGTAAAAACTTGCTCTTTTATAATAATATCATTCCTACTCATGAGGGTGGAGCCCTCAAGGCCTAATCACAATTTAAAGGTCTAACCTTTTAATATGCTACAATGGCAATTAAATTTCAATATGAGCATTGAAGAGACATTCACTCCATAGCAGGTTGGCTGAAGAGGGGAAAGATTGATGAACTGATTTTTTATTATTCTTTGCAAATTAAGGGGTTGCATTCCTGCATAAATGTGGCTCAATGAATGGCCTAGATTCTGATCAATCAGATTAGCAAGGAGAAAAAGAGTACCTCCCTTCCTTTCAAATGTGATTTCATCTCTTTTATGCTGACCACACAGGTTTTTAAAGTGGCTTTTCCACCCTCAACATTCACGTTCTGATTTGGAACCCAGGAGAAAAGCACTATTTTCAGGTACAATTAAGCAATTCCATGTACATCTTTATAGGCAGGCAATATTAGCAAAAGAAAAGCTATAAATACTCCACCTTAAAGAATAAAATTGTCTAACTCCTCCTGTGATGGACTTTGTACCATAGAACTAGTGCTTGCTTCTTGAGGACAGACTTGTGGAAAATGTTTAGGGTTCAGAAGCCTGTGGTTTCTCTCATAGAGAGCTGGGACACTGGTGGGGGAAGAAGGATAAGAGAAGTTGTAGAAAAAATAGGAGGACCATGGAAGGAAGAAAGAAGATGAGGTTGGGAGAAAACAGAGAGAGAATGGAGCTCTAACTCTGAGTTCATGGTGATCTGACTATGAGATGGTTTCCTTCCTGTAGTTACAGAGCTCTCTGAACATTGTTTATGCAGTTGAGAACTCTGGTGCCTAGTACCACTCTCCAGCTTTCTCATCCTCAATTATGAACCCTGGTTTCAACTTTGGCCTTTTTGACCTAAGCTAACCTTCAGCCTGACCCTGGTCCTAAGAAAGAAAAAGACTTTTCTTTCTCGGCACAGGTAAGTTTTTAATTTTTTGCCCTCTGATGTTAGATGTGGCCATGTGACTGCCTTTCATCTATGAAATATGAAACAATTAGTCTTCCATTCTGGAAGCATTTAATTCCCTGTGGTCAACTTTCCATTTCTTCTCCTGTAACAGAAAACTTTTGATATGGTCTGTCCCTGCAATGGTGTGTATATATTTGGTACTGGGGATGGAACTCTGAACCTTTTGAGGCAGATGGTAAAACCAATGAGCTAAATCCTTTGCCCCCTGCAATGGCTTATCTTATTTGGAAAATGACTGGATTAAGAGACTCATGGAAAGGTGATTCATTGAGACACCATACTCATCTGGGGATTAGTCCACTGATATTCATAGCTGAATGTGCCGTTGTGAGGTTGGGCCCAGTTGGAGTTAGGTCAGTAGGGGTATACCTTTGAAGAGTGGTCACCATGAAGTAGCTTTGTTCCATTATGCCCTTCTGCCATGTTCCTGCCTTGGAGCCAGCAAACCTCTGAAACTGTGAACCAAATAAACCTCTCCTCTGCTAAGTTGTGGGTGTTGAAGGCCTGGGTTTTTGCCTTTTGCTTTTCTCATGCTGAATTTTCTCAGAAGCTGGTATATGAATGAATGACTTTGATGAAGACTCTTTCTTTCCAAAGTGCTCAGAGAATCTCAGAAAAGTATCAGTTTAGATCAGAGTGGAAGAAAACACAGGTTTTGGGTGGAGGACCAAGAGACAAATAAGTATATCTGTTCATAGCGGGTGGCTGAGGAGGTTCAGGTTAAGGGCTTTCCAAGGATCCACCTGACTCTGGGCATTGGAAACCTTCATGCCCATGAACTGCTATCATCATTTCAAGATTCATTCAGATGTCACTGCTTCCAGGAAGTTTTTCTTTCTTCCTCCAGTCTTCAGTGGTCTCCCTCTTCTTCCAATTGCTATGGCACTTAGAGTCTATCTTTGCGGGTTCTAGTGGGATTGTTCCACTAGAAATGTTTTCTGAACTATTTCATCTTAGGCCAGTGAGGATATGCAACCTCTCATCCTGGCCTTGATCAAAATGATCAAGATAAGTTATCCCATTTCATGTGCTCCATAATACAAAGAATAGGCTTTGAGGCTATGATGAAAATCCTTTTGACAGGCTGTGGTATCTCCTAAGGTCCTATCTCCATTAGACCAGAAGGATAGGTGATTAAGGCTTTGCATCCATGGAGGTGGTTGGGCCTTCTGGAGGAGAAATTAACCATTAATCAGCCGATAGTCATGAGACTGGCAACTGGATCTGGAGGCCCCAGTAGACATGGCCAAAAGCAACATGTTGCTGGAGCCCCAGCATCCTGTTCATTTCTCTTCCGACTCAGCAGCTTCAGAAGCTGCTTCCCCAAGAGGATCCATGTAAAAGAACTTCTTGTACTTTTATACATTTTCTTGCTCATTTTCCCTTTTCTGGAAACAAGTCAATGGAATATAAAGCAATTCCAAACCTCTGTTTTGGAAGTATGAGTCAGAGGGAATCTACAGGTAGTGAGCAGCACAGAGAGGCATTGCACAGACTTTGGGTCCTGGTGTTGCCCAGCTCCTTTATCTTGAGATCTTTCTTCCTTGTCAGATGATCAGTTACCCAAATTCCAGTCAAAGGCTTACTTCTGATCTGAAACTCATGACTTCTGTGTGAGAATATTTTATTAAGATGTTCTTTCTAAAAGTTTGTAGATTGAACCTATTGCCTTTGCACTGAGCTACATCTCTAGCCACCCCCACCCCGTTTCCTTTTTAATTTAGACAAGTTCTCACTAAGTCACTAAGTTGCCTGAAAGGGCTTGAACTTGTGATCTTCCTACCTCTCAGAATACTGGGATTATTTGTGTGTTCCACCACACCCAGCATGTTCTTACTAATTCTAAAAAAATAAAGGTAATATAGCATAGACAAAATGCTAAACACTCTGAATATTTTATCACATTTTATTGGTGAGAAAAATGAGATATAGATAGAGTCAAATTACTCTTCTAACTAACTTTCACTGGAACCCCTATGCATTGGTCCTCATTCATCCTCTGAAGTAATGCACAATAAATCCTCTTCTATTTCACAGCCCTTTACCTTGGAGAGAACATGTATGATGTCCTTTAGTGAACTAGAAGCCCCATGGACCATTGTAAGGAGAAATGTGCAGAATCTAGTCCACCCCTTCCCTTTCTTCCCAGCCAACTTCAGACCAACATCTCTGTGTTCCCTTAAATGTATAGTGAGAGTTCCTGGCCATTTTGCATAACAAACCAGTTCATTTACCTCAGTTCCTTTCCAGAAAATTCCAAAAAAAAAAAAAAACCCAAACCCTGAATCTGCTTGTCCAGCTATGGTTCTGATAAGCCCGCATTAGACCAGCAGAGATGCAGCATCTGCCCCTAGCACAGCATCAGCGAGTGCCTTGACTTGTGCCCACAGAGGGAGGGATAATCTAGGATCCCTACTTGGTCCTTGGTTCCAGGACTGCTGGAGCAACAGTGGGAACAACAGGTCATCAATATGTCAGTGACTTTGGGTAGACAATTTGATAACAGAAAGGACGAACCTTTGGGTATTGCTCAAGAGTCACACATGAGTCGAAGTCTCTAGATTCTCACCTGTTCTTCTGCGTGGTGTCCTTGAAGAAAAATACCTACAATAACATTTATTTTAATATAAATAAGGAGCAGAATAAAAGATAATCAGAAGTACTGAAGGGGATCAAGAGATGGAGGAGAGAGGGAAGGGAAAGGAGATGACAAAAGAATTGAGAAGTGTTATGTACATGTGTCAACTCCCCACAAGGAATGCAATCATGATGTAATGCAAACAGTTTTTATTATGTAATGAAATACACTGAAGAAAATGCCTACATTCATAGGATGTGGTATTTAAAGTGATGGTGATGATCTCCTAATCCAATTGGATCATCTTACAGGCAAGGAATCAGATCCTAAGAGATGAAGCCATGTTGCCAGCCAGTAGGAGCAGAGGGAATCAATTCCACATTGGTCCACATCCAAAGTCCACTTCTTATCCACCACAGTAAAATCCATATTGTTCTCTAACAATGACCAATATCATGATTTTGGAAAATCTGTAACATTTACATAATATGAGTATTTTGTAGAGTTGTTGTGAGTGTTAAATGGGAAATATTACATTATGTACCTAGCACTGTACTGGGCATGGAGCAGACTCTCAATCAGAGTGGCAAATATTGTCATTAGCAGGGATACAGATCCATGTCTCCTTGGGGCCCCTTGCTCCACAGCACATCTACCTTCCTCGTGTTCTTTATCACAAGGCAGGGGTGACATAATCTTAGGCCTAAATGATGTAATAGCAAAGTCATGGCCCCCAGTGGGATTTCATTTAATGGCAAACACAAAATGACACCTATTTTCCACATATTCTCATTAGAATGGTACACACTACAGTTCAATTCCTCCTCCTTGAAACCTTTTTCTTGTGATTTTTTGAGACAATGATAGCTCTCCGTTTCCTTCTTACATAATCACGGGTCTCTTCCTAGTCCCCTTTGCTGGCTCTCCATTATTTTCTAGATCCCAAATGATAGTGGTCCTCAGGACTCTCTCCTGTTATCTCCAAGGAGACTTTTTCCTTGTTGATATCATCAGATTTTGTGGCTTACATACCAACTGGACACTGAGTCCCTGATCTGTTCTTTAGCCTTGATCTTTTTTCTCTGCTCTGAGTTCCAGTAGTCAATATCTTATATCATGTTTTCAATTTGATGTTTCCTGGGCTGTTTAAGTTTAACATTTCCCAATTTGAATTGTTATTATTTCATCTCAAATTCATTTCTTTCCCCTGTGACTTTTGCATTTACCTTTTATTTTCCACAATTTATTCATGCAGTGCATATTTATTGAATGCCATTATTAGTCCAAGCATTGTTCTGGACAGTAGAGAAAAATACAAAGAAGACAAAATACCTATCATCATGAAGCTTATAGTTTGGTAGGAGAGTGAGAAAATAAATTCTTAGCAAAATCAGTGTCAGGCGTTGTACCAGTTCCTGTCAGGCACTGTACCAGTTCCTTCTCTACCTCTTAGTAGATGACACTGCTGTTTGCTAATTGCTGAGGCCAAAGCACTTGAAGTCATTTTTGATTCCCACCTCTTTATCACTTTCACTATGCAATCCATTAGCAAGTTTTGTTAGCTCTACCTCTAAAACATATTTATTTAAAATAGTTAATGGTGAAGATGTTGGCAATTGACAGGATCAGGAATTATTGCTGCATATGTCATATGCTGTCTGTGGAAAAAAACAAATAAAAGTGAAATCATTTTCCTCCATTCTTCAGAGAGATATTGGGAATGGAAGTCAATCTCTAAACACATTCAGTGTTCTCATCAGAGCATTTTACACTATTGCTGATTTTTGGTTTCATATTTTCCAAGAGCTTACTGTTGTGGGGGTGGGGTGTGTGTGCTCTGATTCCATTCCAGGCTGTGGTAAGGTGAGGGTGCCTGTCATACCAGTGTATTTACTCTAAGGCAGGTCTCAGGCAGATTCTATGAAGCTTAACTGAAGCACAAATCCAGGGGCTTGTCTTTCCATTCCCCATCCATCTCTAAATCCACAGTTCCTGCCTCTGAATATAGAGAGTTGTAGGAATGTTTTACAGTGCTCAGAAGGGGACTTCATGTGGATTAAGCAAGAAAACAAAACCAATACAAAATATTAGGGCAAAGCCAACATCATTTCTATAAGAAAGTCATCAAATCACCTGTTGAGCACTTTCAAATGTCCAAATGGAGGACAATAATTGAGCCTCTCCATGTCATTCATGCAAATGAAAGCTGGGTGTTCTCACCTGGCTTCTACACTGTTCCTGAATCCTGACATATTGAGAGCATTCTCTATGACATACAGGTGAAAGTTGATTCTAAAGCTCCCTGAATGGGGAACCTTCTAGGTATTGCCCAGAATCTACCCTTTCTGCTCCAGTGTTGGGGGTAAGGAAG